CGGAGGAAGAGGCCCGTCGCAAGAAGATGGCTGTCGAAGGTGCCGTGCCTGGTTCGGGTCCTGTGCCGCCGCCTGTTGTCGGACCTGCTGGCGCATCGCCGATTCCATAGAGTATGAAACTCGAAGTGCAAATCTGTCGCATTCATGAACGGCAGGCTATGACGAGGAAATAGACCAAATGCGTATTTTCCGTTATTATTATTATTATTATTATTTATTTATTTTTTTTTTTTTTTATTTTTATTTTTTTTTTTTTTTGACTCTTTCATGATGTGTCTATTTGGGCCCTTTCCGTTTTTTCACTCTTCATATTTACACTCTTACCTGGCATACTGGGAATTAGGATCTATCGTTATATTGTCTACTCTGGCGTTTTTGCAGTCGATGATGGAGTATGTATACGTGGTTGATAGGTCTTCTTTGAGGCGAGACGTGTGTCGTCTACACTTCAGTTGTAAAATCTTGATAACATTTCATGTTTGATCTGGGTTCTATGTCTGTAGAAGGAAATTAACGGGCATGGTATAGTAGTTGCTCCGCTTGTTACACGCGTAGTAAGTAGACCGTTTACGTTAAATTACGATACCGAAGAACTCGAGAACATCATAAATTTTTGCTCTACCTACAGTTGCTAGGTGCAAAGCCACTACCTTGCATTCCTGCATCATCCGCTCCATAAGCCCTGATATCTCTGCCACCATGTATATCGCGTAAAAAGAATCAATCGCAATTGGATGCACCGGGGGAATAGCAACAGAAAGAAATGTATGCTGCAAAAACTTGAAAGTGCCGGGTGGACACTATTCCATGTGACAAAGAAACGCAAAATTCATTGAAATGCGAGGTCATAGTTCATCCAGGAGTACCTTCGCGCATCGAGGACGTTCGCATCCCGATAGCGTTGAGCAAACAAATGGTGCAGGAGGTACAAACGCGAAAGGGTAAAGAAACTTGGGAGAAAACCAAATACACAAGAAATGAAAAGAAACCCAATAGAAAGAAAAATATGTATACAAAGGAGAAACAAGAAAAAACAAGGTATTAATAATACATAGCCCATGCTGCTCTTGACTGATAATATGTCTCGGATGCAAAGGACAGGATCGGTGAGGAATTAAGCAAGCAGGCATGGTTGAACTATACCGGTATATGAGAATAGATGAAGTTTGAAAAAGGGTGGGTCCGCGCAAATGCTGGTCGGAACACGAAATCAAACCCCAAGTAGAGTGCAAGACAACGGAGGGACGTCCGCGTTGTCGAAACGATGAGAATCGTGGGGTCAAATCGGCATTGATCATATCAGTTATCACCATTCTTTGTGGTGTCGTGGTTGTTCGGCGTCTCCTCAACTTCAGTTGAGAGCTTGACGCTATCGGCTTCATCATGCGTATTTTCAGGGACGATAACCTGCATATCAGGTTGCTCGTTCATATCATCAACGAGGTCTGTCTTCAATACGGGTGCGTTGGCATCCGTGGGAGAGACCGCCGCGCTGCTGGCTGTAGATTCTGACTCGGAGGGAGCAGACACAAACGGATCGTCTCCCACAGAACCCTCGTCATGGTTGTGCTCTTCAATGTCGTCTAGGTTCTTTGTTTCAGTAGCGACATCCTCAGGGACAGTAGAGATGATTGACCGCTGGCACTCATCACGACCATCTGCAACAGGCGCCTCAACGCAATCAGTAGGTGTAGGGATATTTCCTTGGAAGCCATTGGCGTGAGCAAACAAAGGGATAATTCCACCCCCGATGCGTGACCAGAACATTCTCTCCCTTAGTCGGATAGTTTCATCCCATGCATCCTTCTCCTCTTCCGCATCACCAATGCGAACATGGCCGTCAAGGATGAGACGGAGGTATCCAGTGAACTCGCAGCTGGAACGGACTCTCTCTAAACACAGTACACACAGAGGGTATCGTTGAGCGGTCTCGCTATCGGACGTCCGAAATCGATGGGTCCTCTCGTTGGTGGGACCGTTTCTGCGCTCGCCACACATTGAACAAGGAAACTCATATTTCTTTGCTGAAGGCGGCATGGGTTCAACCAGGAGAGTTCCATCGCAGATCCCACTTAATACTGAGCGCCGCGTTAGCCATGAGATCCCGGGCGCAGCATCAAGCCGGAGGGTCGGTTCGATGTCTTCCGAAAGCACGCGCTTGTAGAAGCGGGTCTCCTTGAGAGGAATGTGGGAAGTCACGGGCTGTGGGGAAGACACGCTGCCATTGGGAGAATGTGTTTGAGATTTGGCGGGAGATGACGACGCTGAACCGAACCCACTAGCCAGACTCATGACATTCAAGCCAGCGTAAGACCCACTTGTGGCCCGACTTGCAGGCTTGGAAGCTCGAGATGTCGTGAAGAGTTCCCGAAAGTCCTCATAAGCTTGGATATCCGTTCGACAGACCGGCTTGATCAAATGTGGGAAACTAGTGGACGGCCCTGGAGTGAGCTCTTCCAATGTGGGAATTTCCTCTGGTATGTCGGGAATCTCAGAATTCTTGCTGACATGCAAAGGATGCCGCGGCATAGTTGGTGATGACGGAGCTGTCGAGATGATTGTGCGAGTCTCGCTATCATCCTTGGCGAGGTTGAGTCCATGCAAAACAGATTTTAGCTCGGCCAATTGTTCTTGATGTGATGCAAGCAGTGCTTCGGTGTCTTTCACTTGAGAGCGTAGCTGCTCGTTTTTCTTCTCTACAGCCTCACGCTCAAGCTTGGCCGCGGCGACCATCTGTTCAAAAGGTAACAAGTCAGTTGGTCGACCCGACATACAATCGCATATGGAGCTTACCTTGTTGGCTTCTTCAAAAAGCGCGGCAGTTAATGTCTCTAGTTCTTGTTCAATGCCCTTCTTCTCCTTTTCCACAAGGGCGCGCTGAGCCTTCTCTTCAGCCAAAGCAGCTTGCAAGCGCAACATCTCATAATCCACGTCGGACTTCTTGATCAAAACTTCCTGATCAATGTCTTGCCGATACTTTTCATTTTCCAACTCCAGGGCTCGGATCTTGGCTTGTGCCTGCTCCAATTCCTGACGAGTGGCGACTAGGTTGTCATCGAGTGTCGTCTGATTGTTGATCGCCTGGACCAACTTGACGCTCAAAGCTGCGACCTCATTGCTCAAGTCGGGATGATGCGACTGTGTTGACTCTGACGTCTCCGAGTCTTCCGAGTGGCTCGCAAGTCTGGGATCCTTCAAGGTGCTAAAGCTAGTTTCCTGGAAGTTGCCAACACTGGACGAGCGGACGCCCGGTGTCGGCTTCGCAGTGACGGTTCCAGACAGGTCATTGGTAGACCTGGCTTTCGTGACGGTCTTGTCGGGGGAGAGAGAGTTGTTCTCGGAGGAATTCGACCGTTTGTGGCTGGTGGGACGTGGCAGCATGGTAGACGGGGATAGGAAATTGTGGCGAGAGTAATAAGTGTGGAAAGCAATAAAACTGTCACCGAAATTAGCAAACAAACACAGCATCGGTCAACTGCTTTGGAGGGACATGAATATACATACTCGGCCATGATGATCGGGAGATGTCGACACGGCAAATGCAGCAGAACAGGGTATCACAGCAGAAAGAGGCGCGTATCACAACCACGTATATAACGGACCGGCAACGCTTCGCATCTGCAAATCCTGGCAGAGACAAGGGCTGGTTGAGGATGTATGCATGGAAGGATTAAAGCAGGGGGGAAAGCAGTAACGTGACGTCCCCGCCAGCGCGCAGACTGGAGAGGAATCAGCCAGTCGGAGAACGAAGCATTGAGTCGCAGAAAGGAGCGAGATGCAATTCGATAGAGAGCGAAAGTCGCTGAAAGAGGGGTATGAAGGAGAGGCGGCGATAAGTAGGGAAGGATAGACCGGAAGGATGACGATTAACTGGAGGCGAGAGCCGGGTTGAGCGAGATAAAGGAAGGGAAAGAGACGTCTTAGCGGGTAATCAGTGGACGTAACCCCTCTTTCGTCAAGGCAGATGATGGGAGTTAGTGGGAAGATTAGTGTAAGCTAATTAAATTAGTTTAAAAAAGAATTATAGATAGAAAAAGATGGTCAGCGACCCGGGGGGGAAGAACAAATGAGGAGAATTAAGAAGAGGTCAAGGACGACCAGAGAGTAGCAGCAGAGACAAGAACAAGAACAAGAAGAGCACAAGCACGACTGCAGGCAAGGCCGGAGTTGGTACGGCAAGTGGATTCAGGTCGCAACAGGCAGTCAGTAACAGTAACAGAGTATCATTTCCACTGTACGTCTGACTCGGTATCGCCGCCCTGTTTGCCGTATTTACGGTTCCGATACCGGCTCCACTCGGCAGTGAGCCAATCATCAACTCGGAGGCAAACAACAGGCGCTTAGAACTTACCGTATCTGGAAGGTCGATCGCCTCCCGGCGCGTCTCCGGTGGTGGACAATCACAAGGGCCGGCGTGAAGCTTGGGACTGGCTGCCATTCCATCCTTTGGTTCATTCCTCGGTGTGGATGAAGGGAAAAAGGGCGGGGAAGAAGAAACTAACTACTACTACGTACTACAATCAAGTCTGACGGACTGTTCAAGTGTAACACGCCATTGCTAGATTACGTATGATATGATACTCTCTGTATGGATGGTGGAATCATTTTTTCCCATCACTCGCGCCACGTTCTCATCCGGCTTAATGGTTCCCACTAGGTACGATCTCGATACGGAACCCGATCTCGCAAGGGCCTCCGGAGACGGTGACTAGAGCCTCTTGGGAAATTTAAGAGAGCTCGTTCCAATTCATAAGCTTTCTCTCGACCTGCAAAAACTCTTCACACGCTTTTCAATAGTTTGGGCGCAAAGATCCATCCGATGCGGTTGGGTGCGACATTAGGGCGTTCTAATTTGGGGATAATCAGCCAATCTTTCTCCCAAAATCAGCCGGATCTTCGGCGGTGGATGGTTTCTTTTGGCTTAAAAAGGCAGCTCTTCCTTGGCACACCTGATGACGACACTTGCAGTCACTTGCGATCTTCCACTCTCCACCACAACGACACTCAACTTACTTTCTCCTGGAAGTTTATATTCGGGTTTGTTGGCATTGCAGCCTCGGTCTGCAGGTTTGTCTCTCAACAAGTCATCTGCCTATATTTTTGTAGAATGAAGGATAACAATTGTGTTTGAACATATTATGCATGTAATTGTGCTCTGCTGTATGTGTGTGTGTGTGTAATCTGTAATGAATTGGCCCAAGTGCCCAGCCACCCCAGTTCCAAACTAGTCTAGTACTAATCTGCGGACTATTGATTGCCGGATCGGGCCAGGATGCCCGACGGCCTCATGGCGCCCCACTTCATGTGCCTGAGTGCCTGAGGCGCACAGGCATTCAAGCAAGGTGGGGTTGGAAAGTTCTCCAAAGATGGAATGCGTCGAATCATCGGCATCGGCCTGCAATTCATTCTGTCCGAGTTTCATCCCGTCACTTTTTACCCCGCATCACTCTTAGAATCCTCCTGGTCTTTGAATCTTGCATACACAGCACATCAAAAATCATGGCCGACGCAGAGCTTGAAGAGGTCAGTATGAAATCTTTCCACCTACATTTAACTTTCCCCGTCTTCATGGGCGTCCATGCTCGATGAATACCCGGATCCGCGCCTTCAACACTCTTCGTATCAAATGCTTAAATCTGGTATAGATCAGACGGGCCCGTCTTGCCCAGCTTCAGCAACAGGGTGGCGCACGTGGTGGCCCTTCGGACGGCAACCAGGAGGAACAGAGAAGGTATGATTCCCAGACCTCGTTTTTGCTTCTTCATTTGTAAATCTTGACTGACTTGTCGCTCCACCCTAGGCAAGCTGAAGGTATGCGCAAACTCATAACCCACTAGAATAGAACACGCCGGAGGAATCTCTCTGCCTACATCACACTCTCGAACAAATTGCTTATTCTTATACGAATAGCCGACCGCCGCGCCACTATTCTGAACCAGATCCTCGAGCCCGAAGCCGCCGATCGTTTGGGTCGCATCCGCCTTGTCAAGGAATCCCGCGCTGCTGACGTCGAGTCCCGTCTCATCATGCTCGCCCAGTCCGGCCAATTGCGCCAGAAGGTTACCGAGGAGCAGCTCAAGCAGTTGTTGAACGCCATGGCCGAGAACCAGCGCAAGGATGAGGAGGAGCACAAGATTGTGATCAACCGGCGCGGCGGCTGGGATGATGATGACGACCTGTTGGATCTGTGAGATGTGTTTTTAGCGAAGGGTGTTCAGTTTGTGCTGAATGCTTGCCATGTTCAATGATACCTCCAGCTCTCGGATTTCCACCTTCACGACCAGAGCAGCTTGCAGCTGAATTTCTGCTACGACAAAAGTACAGTTTTTCCAACTTGATAGTCCGTCAACAGTTCCTCCACCGAGGACCTAATGATACTTGGCCGAGTAATCATTCAGGAAGTGGCCATTCCTCATATAATGGTACAGAAATATAGCTTCCTCAACAGGAAGCAAGGAATATAATACATCTTATAATAAGCATACTGATCCCATCTGAAGCTATTGCCCCCTCTGCTCCATCAACTCCTTCTCCCTCTTCTTCTGCATTCGAATCATCCGCCTAATCTCCCTCATATCCGGCGGCCTCTCAATGCCCAACTCCGCCCTCAACTCCCCGACATCCTTCTCCAACACCTTCTCCCAATAAACATTAATCAACTCCTTACTCTGCAACCCACTCTTCAACGCCCACGGCAAATAAATCGAAAACAACCGTTCTCTTTCCGCAGGCTTCAACCTCACGGATGCAAACAAACTCAACCCAGTCATGGGAATCAACGTATTCAGGAACTCAAACGCCTTGAGTGCCAGCTCGCCCTCCACGAAAATCGGCAAACCCGTCACAGCATGGTAGAAGTCATGACACTCGCGGTACCGCTGCATGACGTACGCACATTCCTCATCGTCAATGTATTGCACATTGTCCCGGGTGTCCGGAGACACGCCTTCGCGGTCCAGCCAGGTGGCGTACGTCCGGCCGACGGTGTTCTCAGGGAGGGAGCGGAGGTATGGCAGTTTGAGGGTCTCGGAGGTGATGCGCGGACGGTCGCGGAGGATTTGTCGGCCTGTTGGATCGGAGAGCATGGCGTCGCGGAGCCGGTAGATGAAGTAGGGTGTTGCGGTGGCTTCGCCGCAGGCGGCAATTAGGTCTTTTGTGATATGTTAGTTACAAAATTGCATACTAGGATTGACTGAAGTATATGTACCAGCTCTTCGGGGGTTAAGAAGAGAACCCACAGCTGACCCAATGGCCAGAGCGCCGCGCTCTACAAAATTCAATGGCACATGGCCGGGATAGTTAGGCGGAGGACGGTTGAAGCCGGAGATAGGCCGTGAGTGGGCGCGGAGCGATAGCGGTGCTGCGCAGGAGAGGATATTGTTTAGCTCGCGCGCGTGTTGGACGGCGCTGCGCGTCCGGAGGACTGTCATCGTGTGTCGAGTGAAGGGTAACACGTCGCAATGGACATGATCCTTGGGCCGGATGGATGTAGATGAGGGTGTGGTACGATGGGATGCTTTCGGAGCCGGATGGCGCTAGTGGTGGGTGTGCGGTGCCGTAGGACTGATAAAGATCGATAAGATAATCTTTTTCTTTATCGGCGGTTTTTGGCGCATCTGATCGTCTCTGCTTGGATTGCCATTGAGGGATACAGAGGCATTGATATCGCTGAATGTACATTGCTTAGGGAATAATTACGCAGGTTCAAACAGGGGAGCTTTGTTTGTCTTCCACCCTCCCATAAATACTTGTCACACCTCTCGTTATCCTTCAACCCCCTCCACACCAACAACTTACCCCTCAATTGTCTAAACCGACTGTCAACATGAAGCCCACCTGGTGGCCCGGCGAGAAGCACGAAGACTTCACAGAATGGGCTAAAACACAAGGAATCGTCATCAATGGGGTCAGTCCAGCGCGATTCCCCGGCCGCGGTCTCGGTATGATCGCAACGCGAAAGATAGAAGTACATCCCCCCATACTTATATCCCCTCAAACTCATATACACCAACTAACATTCACATGATATAACAGAAAGATTCCATCCTCGTCAAAGTCCCCCACTCCGCAATGCTCACGCCCTCCAAACTCCCATCCACGTTCACCTCGCGCTTCCCATCAGATACACCAACCCACACCCTCTACGCCGCATACCTCACCAACGCCAGTCCCTCCCACCTCACACCATGGCGCAACACCTGGCCCACAATGGAGGACTTTACCTCTAGCATGCCGATCCTCTGGTCTTCATCTTCCCCCCTCTCACCCAGCAGCAACAGCAACACCAGCAAAATCCAGGACCTCCTCCCACCCTCCATCTCCAACACCTGGAGCACCATAACCCCCGGGAAACGGAAACACAAGTACGACACACGGCATCAGAACCTCCTCAAAGCACAAGAAACCCGTCTCCGCAAAGCATGGGATATCGTTGTCCGGGTATTCCCCAAGACAGATAAAGAGCTGTTCACGTACCATTGGGTGATTGTGAACACGCGAAGCTTCTTTTATCTTCTGCCGGGGGCGGAGATGCCGGAGGATAGGAATGATGCGATGGCGTTGGTGCCGTTTGCGGATTATTTTAATCATTCGGATGTGGCGGTATATACCTTCCCTTTCTATCTGTGTAGGTTGGATGAGATGGCTAACGTGAGATATTGTGGATGGATAGTGTAATGTCAAGTTCGACGGGGCGGAGTATGTCTTTCGTGCGGCGAAGGAGTACAGTACGTTCTTTACCTCTTTTTCATTACTATTATGGTGACAAAGACAGCGATATGCTGACAAGATATACAGATGAAGGCGAGGAAATCTACATGAGCTACGGGCCTCATTCGAACGATTTCCTGTTCACAGAATGTAAGCCCGCATCCCCTACAATTCCACCACAACAAAATCCCCACCCCATCCTAACCACCACTCTATCAAGACGGCTTCTACCTCGACACCAACGCCTCCGAAACCCTCTATCTTGATGAGATAATCCTGCAGGACCTGAATGCCTCAAAACAAGAAGAACTCGAGTTCCACCAGTACTACGGGTACGCCTCCCATTCACTTATCTATCACCACACACCACTGACGAAGCCATAATTAAACACAGAAACTACCAACTCACCTCCGAGGGCGTCTGCTACCGAACAGAAATCGCCGCCGGTTTAACCTACATGCCACTACGACTTTGGCAGGACTATGTGCTCGGATACTCGACCGACGGGGTGGATGAGAAGATGTCTGCGGCTGTGATTCGGGGCTGGATTGGTGTGTATATCAAGGAAGCGGATGTGGCGATTGCGCGGTTAGAGGATTTGTATATTGCCCAGACGGAGGATCAAGGTGTGGTTAGGATGCTGTTGAAGAGGTGGAGGCAGATTCGGGGGCTTTGTGAGGAGGCGATTGATCGGGTGTCTTCATGATATGATATCATTTCTATCTGGGGAATGGATGTGTATAGAATAAGGAAGGGGTATATTAACTAGTAGTATCAATCGGTTCAAATATAAGTACAGACATCCGTTCTGGAAAGACTACAGAATGTCAATCGGAATGGCGCTGGCATCTCTTTGCTTCGACGTGTGCTGCTTGCCCAGAACCAGGTGCTTCATCATGTAGTTTACCACGCACTTGATGCCGAGTTCTTCGCCTCTGCGCACAATGTAGCCGTTTAGGTATCCGATCTCGGTCGTCTTGCCGGCTCGTACATCCTGCAGCATGGAGCTGTGATTCTTTGCTGTCTTGCTGGCAAGCTGAGTAACCATCCAGCGCAGTCGTTCCGGGGAGAATCGGCTCTCGATACCAGGGATGCCCTGTAGTTCGGGAAGGGCGCAGATCACGCTCGAAATCTCATGAAGGAGCAATCGCGTCACGCGTGTGAGACTGTAGTTGTAGAGAAGCTCGCCATTCTCGCAGTTCATCAACGCCGTCAACGGATTGATGACAGCGTTCATCGCCAGCTTCTCAAGTTGGTAGAGCATGAGAGCGGACGGAGTCTCCGCGACAGCAACCAGTGGAGGAGTGAGGGTCATGGTCCGCAGGAGGTACTTGGTGCTTGCGGCCCAGTCATCCTCGTTTTCGCTGATCGGAGACGTCGAGTTCGAGGGCAAAGCCGGTCCCAGGATGGTCGTGCCGATGCCCGTATGGGCGACTTGGAATGGTTCCTTTCTGCGGGCCAGCCCGTGCGAGACAATGCCTTGCATGTAGTTCGGGCGTTTGCGGGGATCAGGGAAGACCTTCTCATTAAGCTCATCAATGACGCCCATGCCGTTCTGAAGTAGTAGGACCGTAGAGTCGGGTGTCAAACGATGCTTGACAGACTCTAAGGCCATAGCCGTCACCGGCGCCTTGACACTGACGACCAAGCATTCAATGCGCTCCTCGTCTTGGACAGACCCGGCTAGGGAGCCTTCAACATCGCCGTCATCGGCCCGAGCCATGGCTTCCCCGGTCTTGCCGTTTTTATCCCAGTATGGGAATGCATGCCATGCTTTGCCATTCAGGACGTTGACGTCGAAGCCCGTCTTGATATCGTCCAATCCATTTGAGTTAATTGCTAAGCTCTGTTTTCTCCCCAGCCATGACTTGTACAGATTGGGGTTATGCAAGAGTAGAGTGACAGGCGGAGGTGACGGACGACTTGCAAGAGAGTGGGCAACAAATGTGCCTACATTCCCAAGGCCTAGGATATGTATGCGTCCAGACAGTCTGCGCTTTCCACTATCTTTTGACGCTTCTTCGGCATTCTGCATCCAGGTAGACACGAATCGACCATATGATTTGGGATGCGAACTACGCCTTGAGACAAGACATAATTCGCAGACTGTCGTCCGCCGAAGCGGACTGCGCCCCAGTATGTACGACACTTTGACGGCTGGAGAGTAAATACAGTGAGTCCGAGTTCACGCGCCGTACAAACTGAGAGGTGATGGTAATATAATCACCGTCTCATTATAAGATGAAGCAAATGACAATTGCCCCAAGGACTCACAGTCCTAACAACGATATGCAAACTGACAGGAAGATATAGATCGAGAGTGAAGTCGGCATCGCATGAGGGAGAAGGCGGACAAATAGCTCTTCACCGCCTTAGAGACCGCCCGGAGATAAAAAATCGACATTATCCGCTTCTTTTCAATCCAACATCATCGATTCCTCCCCAGATATTCGTACACATAATCAAAATGGAGGCAGCAGACCTACTTCCGCTGCTTGAGCAGCTGGATGACAACATCGATGATCTTGAAGAGGCTCTGAAGCCCATTCTGGACAGCTCCGTGGTGGAGACGTCGAAGAAGCTTCCAGTGATGGATAAAGCGAAATTCCACGTCTTGGTGACTTACGCGCTGGAGTCTCTTATTTTCTGTACGTCACCATTGCAGCTGGGGCGAGCTTGATTGCTAATTTCTACAGCGTATCTGCGTCTTCACGGCGTCAATGCTAAGGAACACTCCGTGTTTAGAGAATTAACTAGAGTCAAGCAATACTTTGCGAAGATCACCGCGCTCGAAGCGGAGCCGGAAAAGCGTACTCTAACTCTTGACAAGCAGGCTGCCAGTCGCTTTATCAAACATGGTCTTGTGAGTTACTCCTACACGGCACATTTGAGGGTCGAGGCTAATTGAGTAGGCTGGAAATGACAAGATCGACCTGGCGCGCAAGGAGCAGGAGGCAAAGGAGAGAGCACGCGCTCAGCTAAAGGCATCGATACTGGCTAAAAAAGCAGGTGCTACGTCTCAGCAGTCATCGCAGAATGCGACAAGCAACTCCGAGAGTGAATCCGAGTCCGAGGAGCTTGTGAAGCCCGCACCTAAGCCGTCGGGCAAGAGCTCTGATGATAAGAAGAAGCGCAAGGACAAGCAGAAGAGGAGGGTCAGCAAGGAAGAGCACAATGAGAACAAGAAGGAGCGGAGAAAGAAGAAGGATGAATTGCGCAAGACGAAGAAGTTGAAATGAGGAGGTAGCGATTTATGTCGATCTGCCGGCTGGACCGGTTGAGGGGCTGTCTGTTACTGGGATTGCAGCACTTTAACGACGAGTGACGCGCAACATCTCAGCAACATATATTGTCTACAGGCTGCTGCCACGAAGCTACTAAAAGTACACATGGAACGATGATACCCACCGCATAGAGGACAGCCTCAATGAATCTGTTGAAAGACGAGTACAGTGAGGAAGCGGGTGCATGCCATGGTCACAGTAGACCTGGTGTAGGAACCGACAAAATTTATTCCATGGACTACTATACGATTCGAGTCATTTAGTTAAAGCAGTGGCAAGTGACTGACAGAGAGGATGCTCATGCTCAGCCCTGTGGATCATGGCGATGCAGTGAGTCACTGCCGGAGTTAAGCAGAACATGTGCGGATAGCTTCAGATCCACTGTTCTGTGAGACTCAACGTTGTCTCCACTAAGTAGCGAATATCATATCCACTAGCAATAAAACAAATCCAAATGATAATAATATATCCCTCAATTTCTATTCTAAACCCATCCATCCTCGGCATTAAAGCAACGATCAACCGTAAGCGCCGGGACCGGCAGCTGACCTAACGTCCGAAGCAACCAATCAGGAACGGGAGAATAACCAGGGCGATCGGAGTTTTCGAACTTTCTCCGCCCGACTTTCGAGCTTCTTCTTTTCCGACTATAAAACAACTCTCTCCACCCGCTTCCCAACACTTTAACCCACATACAACATCCAGACCTACACCTTCTCCCTTAACTACCACCCTCACAACCACCAAAAACAACACACAAAATGCCTCGTCAACGCCGTGGTGCCGCCCCTACTCCCGCGCGCAGCGCTCCCACCCGTCCTACCGCTGCTCCCGCCAGACCTGCTGCCGCCCCTTCTTACGGCCAGCAACAGCCTCACTCCACTGCTGCTCACCCCCAGCAGCAGCACCACGCTCCCCCTCCGGCTGCTGCCCCCGCTGCCACTCCCGCCGCTGCTCCCGTCCAGCAAAGCCAGGGCCCCGGTCTTTTCGGCCAGATGGCCTCGACTGCTGCGTACGTTGCCACACATACCTCAATACCTTTCCCCCAAACCCCCTTATATAAATGAACCAAACTAACATATGATGAAATATAGTGGTGTCGCCGTCGGCTCCTCCATCGGCCACGCCATCGGCGGAATGTTCTTCGGCGGTGGTGGCGGCTCCAGTGCTCCCGCTGAGGCTCCCCAGCAGGCTGCGCCGGCTCCCGCTCAGCCCATGGACAACGGTCTCTGGGCTGGAAACGCTACCAACAGCTCTTGGGAGGCGCCGGCTTGTGCCACGGATGCGCAGAACTTCCGCAAGTGCATGGATGAGAACAAGGGTGATTTGACGATCTGTGGGTGGTACTTGGATCAGCTGGTACGTTTCCCCGGGGTTGGTGTTGGTGATTGTGAGTGGTTGTTGGGGGAATATGCTAATGGGTATTGTGTTTATAGAAGGCTTGCCAGGCTGCTGCTAAGCCGTACTAAATGGAGACTGAGTATCGAAGGTGATTGATGATGGAGGATGAGATGAATGAATTTTTTTTATGGATGGATGGGCAATATATGGCATAGTGGTGGATTAGCCCGTTATTTCTCTCTTATTTTATTTTCTATTATCTATTACCCCCTTGTATAACATATACCACTTGAGAAGCTTACTACCCTTTTTTTTCAATGGGTTGGCTATGCCTGTGATGGGCATGCATGGACAGGAACTATAAATATAGATAAAAAAGGATCATTCCACTCTTCATGTGTTTCTGTTTCCATTCATTTGGTTATGGTACTTAGATTTGTAGATGATAAATGATAATATAGGCTTTATATCATTCTCATAGAGGTACATACATGCTTCGCTGCAAGCAAAGGAAGTGGGAGTTTGATACATACATAGCATGGATTCCAGTATTTGCACTACAATACGGCTTCCTATCGTCTGTCTCCATCATTTCGAGGCTGAAAGTTCAACTATACACAACCGTTAGCATATGAACACCCATCTTTAACAACAGTACTCACCTGATTCCCATTATAAAACTGCCGATCATCCCCCTCATTCTGCGCATCCCTCAACGTCCGAATAATTGGTCCTCTGGATGCATTCACCCGTCTGCGCCCCGCATCATTCGATCCCGAAGACGCCGTGCTAGCAGTTGGCGCAGCCTCACTGCCTGACGCCTGCGTCGTTCCATACCCAAAGAACGATCCCACAAGCCCCGTCGCAGTACCGACCGCCGACGACACCAGTCCGTAGGCAGACGACACCGCTCGGACAGGCAGACTCGCACCCGCGCCGGAATATGCCTCCGTGTAGGACTGGATCGGAACCATCACCAGGTTCGCGGAGCTGCCGAGACCCAGCTCGGCTAGGGTTTGCTCCTCGTCGGCTATGGTGAGGGTGCGATTCGGCAGAGGCGTCAGGATGTGTTTGAGGTTGTATGGGCTGCGCTCTTCCATTTGACTGTCGAGCCAGGGACGGACGTCGTTGCGGATAGTCTGGGTGGGGGTGAAGCTAGAGCGCACGGAGCTGCCGTCGAAGAGACGCACTTGGAGACGGTATTGCTTCGGAGGGGAGGGTGGGCGCCGTTCAGCGGGTTGGGTGGCGGGCTCTTTGGGCGTGACGGAGGAGGATGGCTTCTCTTTGGGGGTGGGCTTGGGTTTAGGCTTGCTCTCTTGTGTGACTGGTCGGGGAGGCGGCTTAGGTGCTGGTTCTTGCTTCTTCTGTTGTTGGAGTTTCTTGGTCGGGGACGGACGTTGTTGCTCGGCTCGCGCATCGTCTACTCGTCTCTTTCCTTCACGAACAGCTGCATCGCGGGGTTGCTCTGGCTCAGTTGTGGAGGGCTGGGGTGCAGGCTGAGATGGAGCTGGTGTAGGAGCTGACTCTGCAGCAGGCGCTGGTGCCGATACAGGCGCAGAAGACACAGGTTCCGGCGCAGGAGGAGACACAGTCGCAGGAGCATCAGAAGCCACCGGCGCAGACGTCGTCTCACCCCCAGCAGCACCCGCATTTCCTACATTCTGCTGAACTGGCGCGCGACTCTCATCCAGCTTCACAAGTAGGCGATCGCGAAAGTCCTCCTTGGAAATGTCCGGCACGAGGTAATCGCACATCATACCATTCCTGCGACGGTCAACAACTTCCCTAATCTAAGTAGCATAACACATACTTTATCACGACGACGGTAGGAAACTTGACGATGGGACAAAAAGAGGCCAGAAAGCCCGCTTCCTGACTACCTTTGGTGAAGCGCAAGAGGACAGCTCTCGATTGGAGTAGTTGCGATAACTGCGCATCGTTAGCAGATGCAGAAACATATGTATATGATATGTTGCATACCTCCTCGTCAAACGTAAAGTAGCTCTCCTCCCATTCTGTGCTCGTCTGCTCATCATCTATGTAGCCGGTGTCAGTACTGCGGAGTATCGCCGAGCTCCAGCATCCCTCTATTCAATGACTGTAGAAAATAACGAACCTCTAACGAAGCAAACGACAGCCTTGCTCTCAGCGACCGCCGCAGCGATACCCTCCTGTAAGCTCCCAGAGTAGAACATCTTGCGTCTTGCTTTCCGAGTATGTGAAATAGACAAGTGACAATGAAGCTAGTGGTTACGGAGCTACCGACTGACACCCGCAATCGATAAGCCGACAATCCGCATCGGCGGAAAAGACCCCGTCCCGACCCGCTCTCTCTTCATTCTTCCACTGGCACTTTCAATCCCCAACTGCCTCCAACCCAATCAATCACATCAGAAACCACACACAACAGCGCGCAACATGCGCTCCCTCCTCTCCGTTCTCTCTCGGACGGGCACAAGAACCACACCCCTACGCCCCGCATCCTCAATTCTGCGCACCGCCCTCAACAGAACAGGAACAGCAGCAGGACCGGACTCCCTCTGCACGCGCTGCCTCCGCCGAACCAACAACACCACCCAGCTTCGCTTCTACAACAACAACCAATTCAACGACGACCAGCGCTGGCTCTCCGTCGTCGACGCCCCCTCGCAAGTCGTCCGCACAGGCCGGAAGCATGGTCCGGGACTAATCATTCTCGGTGCGCCATACCCATCCCACCAACCACAACCACAAACCAAACTAACATACATACAATGCAGCACTAATCCCCATAATTTCCTTCGCCCTCGGAACATGGCAAATCCAACGTCTAGAGTGGAAGACCAACCTAATTGCCAAATTCGAAGACCGACTAATCAAGCCCCCGCTGCCTCTACCCCCGCGGATCGACCCGTCCGCGATCTCCGAGTTCGATTACCGTCGTGTCGTCGCGACGGGCACACTCCGACATGATCAGGAGATGTTGGTGGGTCCGCGCATGCGAGAGGGCCAGGATGGGTTCTTTGTGGTGACGCCGCTGGAGCGCGAGGGTGGGAGTACCGTGTTGGTGAATCGGGGGTGGATTAGTCGGAAGATGAAGGAGCAGAGGGATAGATTGAGGCAAGGGGAGGGGAGGGCATTGCCGGAGGGTAAGGTCGTGGTGGAGGGATTGTTAAGGGAACCGTGGAAGAAGAATATGTTTACACCGGATAATGTGCCAGCTGAGGGGAAGTTTTATTTCCCTGATATTGAACAGATGGCGGAGTTGACGGGGAGTCAGCCTGTTTGGATTGAGGAGACTATGGGTATGTTGTTCCTCCTTCTTTTATTTCATTGGTTTGGGTATTGGATGATGAAGCTAATCTATGATGCTGGATCAGTCCCCGATATGGTCGAGGCGATGGATCGCGAGGCCAAGGGTATCCCTATTGGCCGTGCTGCTGAAGTCAACCTCAAGAACAACCACAGCCAGTATATCTTTACTTGGTATGTTGCATTTCCCCTTTCCTCCCCGGACGAGGTATAGAACCCTGGCTGACGGCTGCAGGTACGGCTTGTCGCTGGCAACCTCCATCATGCTGTGGATGATCATCCGCAAGCGTCCCAACGAGGCTACTCGGCGTGTGCGCCATAACCGCAACTGGTAGTGGCTCGTGTCCCCGCATGCTGGACGGCGTTTGGACTTGTATCTATAGGAATGTATACTGTATCATCATGGTGGCATTGCCAATCTCATATCTTGCAACAGCTCCTTGGGCAGATGCTTTTGCGCCAGCGAGAAGATCGTGGTCGACTGGTTAACGTGCCGTTGCCTACTGAATTAGTATCCCTGTAGAAGATTGGCAGGACGACTGAACTTACCGCCGCATCAAGGTTGCCACATCGCTCTCGTCGATAGTCTTGCGCCCCGCGTGCTTGGAATACGCAGCCAGATCCTCACTTGCTTGCTCGAAGTACCACGATGAAGCCTGCTCAATCGCAGCCAGCGTCTCCTTGCTGATCTTGGCTTTTGACCCGTTCCGCGCCCGCGCAAACCGGGTGGCCAGCTTCTTCACAACTCCGACGGGAAGGTTGGGCACGGGAATGCCATGTCGGGAGAGCTTCTTCTGTTTCGCGCCGGAGACGTAGCGGTCCTCGTCCCGCAGCCCCCCTCCGGCAATACCTGGACTCTGGCTCTCACTTAGTGCCACCGGAGCGGGCGGCGGCGATTGCAGCTCCATGCCGAAGTCGCCAGCAGCGATGGACACGCTGTCGGCATCATCAGACCCTGCCCCAGTGTCCATTGGCATGTCCATCGAGAGCTCGAACCCTTCGTCGTCATGGATGGGCTCCTCTTGGTCCAATTCTGCGCCAGGAGCAGGCGGCGACGGGAAATTAAACTCGAAGTTGAACCGTCCAAGATCTTCCGTTTCACCTCTGTATGTTCGTTAGCAGCTGGATCTCCCGAACTGTGCATAGAACTCACCCTCCCTCAAAGTCCCCTTGCGTAAGAACCGTATCTTCACCTCCATCATCACCATGTACAATCCCCGTATCGTCCCCATCTTCACTCTCACTCTCTAACCCAGTCGCCGCCCCAATCTCACTCATCCGCGGGCCACCCACACTCATCATCGACAATCTATTCCGATCATGCTCACTCATAGCCCGTCGAGGATACTCGACCGTAATATCTTCCTCCTCAAACGCCAACGACAGCCGGGGTGGGTGCATCTCCGGCTCCTCATCTACCTCCTCCACCTCATCGAGCGGCAGCGACAAACGAGGGCGCTCAATTTCGGGCTCATTATCCAAGTCTTCGATTTCATCTCTCTCCGGTTCTGGCTCTGGCGAAGACTCTACTTGCTCCTGCGGCGAAGATTGTATAGGCTGGGTGGTCGGGGCAAGGGCTTTCCCCAGGTTGCGGAGGATATCGAATGTCGTCTCGCGCTGGATCCGCCCGCTTCGTCTACGATCGCGTCCGGGCGTGTTCGCGGCGCGTCGTTGCAGCGCCTGCACTCGATACGGCGTGGACGGCGCGCCGGCGCCCCTGTTTCGCGGGGTGTATCGGTTCGCGGAGGGGGTGGTGGATGCGAATCGGCTGGGAGTGAGGGGGTATTTTGTGTGAGCGGGGAGACGTTGCAACTGGATCTGGTTAGTAGGTACAAGATGATATAATACAAAGAAAGCAGCTTACCCCTGTGAGTGTGGTGTCTCCTACTGGAGTCAATGCTTCCGAGCCATCAGACACTCGGGGTGACCGGCGACGCGGCTTGGGTGTGGTCGCCATTGGCTAGCGGGCATGCGAACTTATCGCATCAAATAAACTATAGTGTAGCAGTTATCGACGCTCAGTAATAATGCCAGCTGTTCATGATAATAGAAGCCAAAATCGGCGATAGATGAAGAGGGGTTGTATGGCTGTAGTGATAACTGGAGCGCGTCT